ATACATACATACATACATACATACATACATACATACATACATACATACATACATACATACATACATACATACATACATACATACATACATACATACATACATACATACATACATACCAGCATACATACATACCAGCATACATACATACCAGCATACATACCAACATACCAACATACCAACATACCACCACCACAGGCCACAGGGGGGGGGGACCAGAAGAACCATACCACCACCACAGGCCACAGGGGGGAGGGGGGGTGGCCAACGCTGCACCATATATATGCATACACATGAAAATATACATCCACAATTGATACATGATTACATTAATACCAGGGGAAAACGAAACATCCGGGGCGCAGAGCGCCACGTGAGGATGGAATTCGGGTGCCCACGGACATGCCATCTCCTACATCTCCCGCACGACCTGAGGCTAAGGGAAGTGGTGATGAAATGGTGGCGATAATGATGGTGATGGCTTGAAGATCAAAAGTTCCAGACACCTGCAGGTTTGATTTTCTTTTGGGTTGCGCACATAGCACATTGGCAGATGATTTTGGACTTTGGGTCCCAATGGTTCCTGCGATTTTTCATGACATTTGAGAGTCGCACTTATTGCATTTCACGATGGTTTGATCCCTGCATTTGCTTCCAGACTCTCCAGTTTTGGCGCGTGTCACAAATAAGCAACAACTATTTGGGAGTAAAAGTTGTGCTTTTGAACATGGATCATATCATATCCCCAGCATGGCTTATGGGGAGCATGATGAGTATGTAAATGCAGCCCAGTTTCGGATACTGTAATCCCATACATCAGGAAATGTTGTGTCATAATCGCAGGAAATTCTGGGAAGATGGTCGGAAAACCATGCTCATTTTTGTCTGCACCTCGAAACTTGAGTGAGGTTTTCCCTTAGGATGGCCAGTTATAGTGGATTTTCCCATTAAAAATGGTGATTTTCCATAGCTATGTTAGTTTACCAGAGGGTATCCCAGGAATCGTTAAGGGCTTGATCATAATTGATCGATGTATCACTGGATCACTGTCCTGGAATATCCCATGGTTTTTGTGGTGTCGAAATCCAGCACCAGCTGCTATCTCTTGTGAAAACTATGAAACCCTGTTTCTTGTGTGCGATAATAACATATCTGGTTGGTGGTTTGGAACATGAATGTTATTTTTCTATATATTGGGAATAGTAACCCCAACTGACGAACTCATATTTTTGAGAGGGGTAGGGTTCAACCACCAACCAGATATGATAACGGGATTTTGCCCATCTAACATCCATCTACCAGCAGGATTTTGCCATCCCATGATATGACCAGGTTCTGCGAGGCCCTTTACCTGCAGAGGCGGGATTTTTTTGGAGCATGAAACATGGTGATTTAACCATCAACAATAGGCATTTATCAGCAAACATCATAGGGATTGAACCATCATTAGTAGGGGTTTAAAAAAGAAGACAAACGATTGGGATATAGTTGGTAAGTCATGGTTCATTGGTTATCACATGGGATTATCATGATCCACGAACTGGGAATCCCGTTCTGAACCAACTAGGATTACTATCACAAATCGTTGTAGCATTGTAGCATTCTCCAGACATCTAAAAGAGAACTAGCAGTAGTATACTAGTGAACTAGTACTTGGTGGCTCATCCCACTTAGTAAGTGGGTTATAACCCCAGTTATAAATGGGATAAGTAGGGTTAATCCACTTATAACTGGGGTTATAACCCACTTGCTAAGTGGGATGAACCACCAAGTACTGAATAGTGCTAAAGAAGATCCCAGTGGTTGACTCTGGGAGATCCCAAGTCTGGCCTGTTTCGTGGTTTCAAGAAGTTGAACCAGTTCCAAATTGGGAGATCCACTTGGAAGATCCACTTGTTTCTGATGTTCAACCAGGTTTGGCAGTCCCAATTTGGGTTCAACAAGTTGAAAAGCCCAAGTAACTTGGATTTCAATTAGACATTCATCCATTTAACAAGAGACAGCCGAAAACATGGTCTATAGCAATCCCCAAAAAGATAGAAGCGTAATTTACACCTATTATACGGACAGATTCTACTTTTCTAACTTTTGGGAGGTTGCTATAGTGGATCGATTCCTTTTCAAAGAGGTCCCATCCGGGATGGTGCATCAACTGGCAGCCTGGCAGGTGCAGCAACCAGAAGAGGAGCGGGCGGTGGAGTCAATGGACACTCTCCAGCCATTTGGGTTTGTCTAAAAGTAGGGTAACCCCTGGTAATGACTAACAGTTTGCTATTGAAAATGACCATAGAAATAGTGGATTTTCCCATGAAAAATGGTGGATCTTTCCATAGTTATGTGACAAATTACCAGAGGGTAACCCCAAGTCCGGTGGAGTTGATCTGACTTAATCATCGTTTTCCCCATGATTTCTGGCTACAATTGGGTGGTATTTTTAGATTTTAACGGACAATCAATTTACTGGACGATGTAGAATATTGATGAATATTGATTATTTTTCCCGTGCAGCAACCATGTGTTACCGAGATGGTAACATGTTTCTGTGAATTGCCAACATAAATTAGGATGATCTCCCAGACTCTCCCAGACTAAGAGAACTTGGGCTTAAACATCTATAAACATCTGCGTATGATGAGCTCCATTGGGGACTTTCCCAACCATATCCTCTGGTAAACTAACATAACTAGTGAAAGGTACAATTTTTAGTAATAGCTATGAATCAATTAACATAAATTAAGTATTTCTATGGCCATGTTCAATAGCTATGTTATATACCCTCTGGTAAACTAACATAACTATTGAAAATGGCTATTTATAGTGGATTTTCCCATTAAGAATGGTGATTTTCAATAGCTATTTTGACATAACCAGAGGGTAAATTACCAGAGGCTAAACCTCCAGATTTTTCGGCCAGGATCTGGGCTCTGCACCCTTGGTGTCGGCCGATGACCGAAGAGGGGATGACCGATATGAAGCTGAAGATGGGACGTTCCCCTTTTTAAAAAGGCAGCCTTTTTGATGGGGAAAATATATGGGTATGGATCAATACCTATAGATACATTTTTAGTGGGATGAACATCCATTTACCAGCTATTTTGATGTTCACCAGGGGGATAGGGTTTTGACCCATCCCCATATGAAAATATGAAATATGGGACAATGATGAGCAACGATGATAACACATTTGCTTTTGGAGTATCCTGTTGTCAGAATAGGTTCAGACAAACCGATCTTCTTGCTCATGTTGGTGATGTTTTGAGCTTGTTTTGGCCATCAGCTCCAATAGAAGTAGATGTTTCACTATCCCTAATCATTGGCATGTCCCGTTTTGCCCATAAGGTTATCGACCCACAATATACAATATATACCATACACACACAATATACATACACATTAACAATACTATATACACAATATACATACATATTAATTTTACACACACACATACATATATATATATATATACACATAGCCAATGGGATAATATGCATGTATAAACACAATCATACCTGGACAGTCCATGGACCAATAGCAATTGGTATTTATCTCATCATCGTATGACAAAGTACAGTACCCACATTTATGGGTACTTTTTACTTTGAGTTGCTTTGCATATTTGTGTAATTACAACTTGTTACAAAGAGACCATATATAGAATTATATATATAGCAACATTATAAACAACTATATATATGCACGTATGTATACATAAATATGTATAGCATATCACATCATCATAGATATTCACATACATTGTATATATCTCTATGGCAAAAGAAAGTGCGCTCAACGTTCCGACCTGAGGCCTCCGCCTTCTTTGGCGCTTCCACCACCACGGTGTCGCCCAGTGAAGTGCCGGTGCCCACGGATCAGCCGTCACCCACCTCGCCTGCGGGGGCTGGGGAACCCTGGGAACCGGGATGGCGGGCGGTGGGGCCTGGGATTGAAGATGTGTCCAACCAAGATGTATTTTTTGCTGGTTGGTGGTTTGGAACATGAATTTTATGACTTTCCATACATTGGGAATGTCATCATCCCAACTGACTTTCATATTTTTCAGAGGGGTAGGTATACCACCAACCAGTTTGTCATATGTTTGTCTAAGTGAGAAAAACTAATGAGAAATTTGGCGAACACAACGATTGTTTTTTATTTTGAGAGAAAAACACGTTGGAAGATAAACACTGTTTTGTTATATAAGTGGGCGACTGGACACCAATAGTGGGGGTTAGATTTTACAGACATACAGACATACAATACCATGTACACGTTATAAATGGGAGAACTAGTGTCGTGTGCAGGCAAAAACAGGTCCCGAAAAACTGGCTACTTACTTAATATATTGAATAACACCAGCACTTGTTGACACACAGCGATTGTGTTTTACATGTCTCTCTTTGGACCCACTCAACCAGTCAAATGCCATCAAATATGATCAAATATCATCAAACATCATAAATTATCATGAAAATCAAATATGATCAAATCTCAATCTGATTATCATTATATTCAACCATTGTTTTACCAGAAAATCAGAAAGCGGGTGAGGTAAACATGTTTTTCTGCCACATCAAGGTGCCGCGACTGGAACCACGAACCTCGAATAGATTTAAACACCCTGCACATCTATAGGCTACTCACGATGGTGACCTTGTGAATCATGGTCAGATTTAATTACACATGCGTACAGTTTTTTATTGGATTTGCACATATTGTTATACACATCTTGGTTGGTCGCTTCAAGCCATCAACCAGACATTGTGCAGTTCATTGAACCCATCAACCAATCAGGATTGACCAAAAAATGGTCATGGCGAGCTGAGACACAGCCATTTGCGAGCTGATGATTTACCTCAGACTTAGATGGGAATCTTCAAGTACTATTCCGACTATTCCAATAAAAATTCTCACTTTTGGTGTTAATAAACCCCAGATTTCAAATATTGTTAATTCATTGTTGATGTTGGATTCCCATTCGTTACCGTTGAGCCCGCCATCTTGTCATTTTTGATGATTACATATTTAATTGACAGTTAAGTTCCAATTTTCGACCGTCAAATCATTAGTTAAGTACTTAATATAGGAACCATGTGGAAGCATCAAATACTTCATCCACGATTTATATAAATGGGATTTAAGTATGAAAAACGGACTTTTTTTTTGTTCACTCACCATGTTTATCATGTTCTATCCGTATTTTCGATGAATTTATCCCAATTCCCATATGCTCCATGGTGCTGGAATATTTACCAACATTTGCCCGAACAAAATCACCCAAATGTAGCTACATATACCAGCACCATGGTTCGCATCTGGGATATGCCTATATTCCATATATTTCCATATATTTCCATTATATGAACTATATATGCCTATATTCCATTATATGCCATTATCATATTATTTCCATATTGTGATTTACTTCATATGCCTATATTCCATTATATGCCAGTAAATCACCATTATCATGAACTATATCCCATTCATGGTGAACTCACGATTTTTCACCGTGAAAAGTACCGTCGCTTCCAAGGTCTTGAAGCCGCCCGCCACAGCGGTGACAGCGGCTGCACCAGCGGCTGCACCAGCGGTGACACCGGCGGTCGCTTGCCAACGGTATGTTTACCTTGGTGATGACTGAGGATCCAAAGCATTTTTGAGACACCTCAGATTTTGATGCTGTTTTTATGCTGTTTATTTTGGGCGGACATTTTGGAAACATAGACAAATTATGAAAACAAGGGATAATCTTGAGGTTTTCATTGGTTCTATCGAGGGATACACCGATTGATTGCATTGAAATGCATTAAAGAACTATAGGACCTAGCAAAATCGAAACTTTTAAACAGATGGGATGGAATAGGGCTCCACATTGAGGCCAACAAATGTTTTTTTTTGGGTGTTGCCATCCAGTTTTGGAGGTCGGTGAGAATTCTACAGCTCCAAAGATTTACACAACCTGCAAGAATGAGTCGATGCTTAGTCAAGACAATCAATACTCAGCCAATCATATGTAGAACATACATAAGAACATATACATCACAATACATGATATATTTATTTATATATATACATATGTAGTTTATATATATATATATATATTCTTTATAAACAATACATATTATATTGTTTATTGCCCAGCTATATCCATCTGTGGCTGGCCTTTGTGAAGCACCTCAGGTTCCGGGAGGCGAATCTGCGCGACCGATCTCTTCAGTGGGGATGCCAGGGGAACGTAGGTGAACGTAGGTGAAGGTGAATGGTACAGGATGGGGCCTCCAAGATAGCGCTCAGTTGATATATATATATAAGCGGCTGAATTCTATGGTTTATGGTAGATACAACTATAGTGAATATTGTTTATAAACCAACTTATAACTGGGGGGCACCATCCTGTAGGGTGATTGCTGGATTCTTTTTAGCCATTGAATCCAATGAGAATATTTTTAGGGGCGTCTAGGATTTGCCGACATCAAAGTTTACTGGATGCAGTCCGACAATGGGGATATATATATATGTATATATATATACATGATGATTGAACCAAGGATAGTTATATTTATTTACTGATATGATAAATGGTTATACACTCATTTGCCAACCATTACGGATGAATTTCTGCCTGGCAGGCCTGACCTGTGGCTGTTCAGAACTTCGCCCGTTTTTGGCAGACCTTTTTCTGACGTTTGGAGAAGTATATGACCCACTTGTGTTGGTTTGTTGGTTCTTCTATGCCCCATTTGTTTGATGATCTCATATAGATATCCCACAATTTGTGTTTAATGTTCACACCCAGAAATTCAGTTTGCTTGGTGCATCTAGGCGCATTCAAACATGACATTGTTCATTGGATGATGCCCCAATGAACTGATATGGAGGTTCCTGAAATGTGGGTACCCCTAAGTCATCATCCATTTTACAGGATTTTCCATCATAAACCGACCTTTTTTGAGGTACCCACCATTTATGGAACGCCCCATTTATGTTATTTGAACATGGCCCAGTCGAAATACTTGATTTACCCACTATAAAAAATGGTGGATCTTTCATTCGTTTTTTGTAGCTTTACCAGGCCGGGTATGTTTGTTGCAGAGGTTCGCACCACCAATCACGACTTGACCCCTCTCCAGGTGCTGGACAGCAGCGACATGCTCTTTTCCTCAGGTCCAGAGTTGTACTGAAGCGATGGTGAAGTGGTTGCGGGGAATATATTTGTAATACGTATATATATATATTAATATATATATACGTATTATATATATATACACATATATGTATATATAGTACAACACATAATAAATCTCAAACATATATAATATAGACCCTCTGGTTTTTTAACGTAGCGAAGTGGAAAATCACCTTTTTTGATAGGTAAATCATCATGTTTATCATCTACAAATCGGCAATAAATTGCATAGCTATGTTAAACAACCAGAGGGTATATTTACATGATGAAAGCACTCACAAGATTATATGGCCGTATCCAATGAACCATGATGAGGTAGCTAAACTTCTGATTTCACCATACTTTTATCATCTATGGGCGGGATACTTTTTCAAAAAACCGACAGAAAAAGTCGAGAATTGACCAGCTGTCCAATGGGGATTGCGAATCTATCCAAATCGATCCAGTATACCAGGAGAGGTCAATCATATCTATGTACTGTAATCTGGATAAATTATAGTGACCTAACTGTGACCTGACTGGAATCATGGTCATAAAGGGGAATGATCCCAATAAAGGCTGATTTCAGGTGGGTGAATTATTATAATTTGCCCAGATGTAATATTCTTATAACTTATATAACAAGAACCATAGCGAAGATTCAATCATATTTGACAGACGCCTCTGGCTTGATCAAGATCAAGAAGGAGTACAGTCAATGTGAAACGATAATATACCCTGACATACAGTGGATGGAAGAAATCCTGCACGATAGGTGGTTTATCTCATTATTCATAGGGTTTCAACCATCCAAGGTAGTGCAGGATTTCTTCCATCCACAGTATCTAATCAGCAACGTTGACGATTCTCCTTTTGTTGCCAATGATACTCTGATTTGAGCAACAGCCATGGCTACTTACACCTCTCTTCTTGGCACAACGTAATTGTTGTTGATCTCAAGTTTCCACAAAAAACTAAATCAATTACAAATCGATCAACAAAGATTACGGAAACTGAAACCAATCAAAGATTTTGTGGTTGGTAGTGTCAATTCTTGTCATGTTCTATTGACAAAAAAGCACGGTATGGTCCCAAGTCACTGAAAAACATGGGGACGGGTTGAAGCCCAGAAAGGCTTGTGATGGGATTCTCATTAAGATAAACTAGATATATCTAGATATATCTAGACATATCTATAGATATATCTAGATACTGTATATCTAGAGGTATTTACGTGAGACACAGTGATCATCGGGAAGAGAACCACCAACTGGGAAAATTCTGGTGGGCTCGTAACATCCATTTTGGCCAGGCCGCTTCGAATACCCTCTGGTTATTTAACAGTTTGCCATGGAAAATGCCCCATAGAAATAGTGGATTTACCCATGAAAAATGGTGATTTTCTATAGTTATGTTAGTTAAATCTAATAGATAAACAATCTATAGCATGGCGAACTGTTAAATACCCAGAGGGTAAATTTTAGAAAATTCATCGGTCCGAATCTCACCGAATCTAACCTTGAGTCGGATTGAGTGAAGAAACCTCTCTGTTCTCGAGTATCAACTCCGCCAAACTGGGGTGCATTGGGTCAGATCCCTGCCGTTTTCCATAGAAGGTGGGGCTTCAAATCTGAGCTAAGATTTGGATAGATTTGGTTTATCTTATGGTGAAGATAACCCATTTATCTACCTGGGACAATGTTCTACTAATCTATTTTCAACTCTAAGCCAGATAGAAGCTATATTTAAACCACATATAAACCATATTTTGTATATATAATTACATCTTGATTATTATATATTTTTGTACATGTTATTACATATTATTCACGTCGCTTCGCGACGGCAACCGCCCGCACCGCATCGTTGGGCAGCCGCTCGTAACTGCCAATGATGTCGGCCATTGAGACCAAAAACATCCGAAAGTACTGATTGTCGGAAAAAAAAACGCGAAGAATTTGATAGCCATGTATAGCGGACCAACGCAGTTCAAAAAATAACGAAAAACATGAAAAAACGGCGAAATTGCTGTTATTTACAGTGTTTTTGCGCGGTGAGAAGCAGAAACCACTGCAAATACCATTGTTTTTGAGGGTCAGGTGGCCAAAAACACTGTAATTTACAGTGTTTTTTTAACCAACGTCAAAAAACACTGGTATTTACGATGTTTTCATTCACACCGTAACATAAAACAGCGTAATTTACGATGTTTTTGGAAGTTTTGAAGCTAGCCGTCAAGCATGCAGAAAACAGAAAAACACTGTAAAAACCAGTGTTTCTGCTATCACAAAACGACGAAAATCAGTCCGAAAACGGGTCCAAAAACTCAAAAATCCGCCTCCGGGCCAGGCCACCTGCGGAACCGCAAAAAAAGATGTTGCAAACCAAAAAATTGAGGTCAAAAAGTTGAAAAACACGGGGTTTTTTCACTTTTCGCTTGCCGATTTTGGACGGGCGCGTTCACGAACAGGTGTCTTCCGTACTGTTTTTTACAGTGTTTTTTGAAGGCGAGCGTCACGACCTATCAAAAACAGGAGGTTTTGGCCGAAAAATGCCCCCCCCCCCCAGGTAAACCTGTAACCTTTTACGAGTGCCATCCGGAAGATCACGCCCCAGCACCTTCGGTGCGGGCGGATTTTGTATATTCTTATGTATCTATCTATATATCTGGGTAAATTATAACGACCTCACTGTTCTCTCTCACTATAATCATAGTTAGGATTCAGGGAATCATCCCAATCATCCCAATAAATGGATTGTATATCAGGTTAGTGAAATATGATAATTTACCCAGATAGCTATATATAGCTATATTAAGCGTCACTATTCACAATTATCCATATAATCACTATGAATCACCAAATTATTCATCACTAACCATATTAACCAGATATTAACCTTTTTTTCACCAGATATTAACCATATTAACCACATATTAACCAGATATTAACCACATATTCACCACATATTAACCAGATACATCATGTAGATCACTTAACGTCATTCCGTTGTGGATCCCACGGGCGCCAGATGGCGCTATATTCGAAGGTCGTGTGGAGTCGCCCACCGAGATGCCGGTGCCCACGGACGTCCCGTCGCCCACCACACCCTGTGAGGATGAAGGCCACGGCGGCGGAGCGGTGGAAAGATGGGAGGATGCTACGGAGTGGTACTCAGTTGTGGTACTCTCTCTCTCTCTATATATTTATAGACATGTATATATAATATATAGACATGTATATATATAATATAGTGTATGTATGTATATATATATATATATATGTGTGTATGTATAATCATATATATATATATGATTATACATATATATATATATATATTTATATACACACATAATGATCCATATTTATCTATATTGAGCCTTTGTTAAATTGTTACACTTTGCTAGCATGGCCATTTTGTTTGTTGATTTAGCGTTT